GAAAACTTATCGATAGCATGTATCGACTACTGAAAGGTGTTCGACAGTGTACCTCATTCATGGATAGAGAAGAGCCCAAAAATATACAGAGTATGTCACACAATGGTCAAATTCATAACAGAGAGCATGAAAAACTGGAAGACTGCAGTAAACTTAAACCATACAAACGGGTCATTAACATCGAGATCAATCAACATCTGAAGCGGGATCTTCCAAAGAGATTCAATGCTACCACAACTATTCTGCCTTGCATTAGCGCCACTCAGCTGCTTACTGAACAGTAGCTACGGATACAAGTCACAGAATGGCAAACTGAATCACCTATTGTATATTGATGGTCTTAAAACGTTTGCCAAGGATGACGGCCAGCAGAAAAAACCTACTCACCATTGTCAAAACTTTCAGCAAAGACATTAGTATGGAGTTCGGAATTGACAAATGTGCCAAAGCCACTTTCAAATGCGGTAAAATAACGAAAACTCCAGATTTAAACTTTGATATCAACAAGATTAAAGAACTAGACCAAGATTGTACATACAAATACTTAGGAATTAATGAAGGAGACGGAATACAACATTCAATTATAAAGAAAAAGATCTGAAAAGAATATTATAGGAGAGTGCGTTTGATAACTAGAAAGGGAACTTGATAGGAAAATGAAAGCTATCAACACCTTAGCTATACCCGTAGTAATATACAGCTTCAACATCATTAAATAGAAATTGAATGGCATTTAAAAATTGGCCGCCAAGTCCAGAGAAGTGCTTACTCAAATGAAGATGTCCCACCCAGATGTTGATAGGCTGTATGTATGAAGAGTTTTAGGAAGCCGAAGTCTAATCCAACTTGAACTAACTTTAAAAACTAAAACAATCGGAATGAAAGCATACGTCACAAAAACCAATGACCCCTAGGATCTGCGGAAAATATGATGAAACCGTCAACCATATAATCTCAGGATGTCCGGAACTAGCAAAAAATGAATTTACCCACAGACATAACAAGGTAGCGACATATGTGCACGGGAAGATATGCAAGAAGCACAAAATCGAAACCACTGAGAGATGGTATAAGCACCAACTGGACACAGTTACCCAAAATAATGATGTAACTATCCTCTGCTCCATGGTAATTCAAACTTGAATTGAAGGTATTTCTAACTGGGCTCCACCTGCAAGGTTATGTTTCTTTTATCAAAACCTGTAACCATATCGGCTGTGATGCATGTGCGTGGTATAACCTTAGCAGACTGGATGTCATGATGTGTATATTCGGCTTAGTAGATTTGTGTCTCAGCGTCACTTTGTTGACATACTGCTCTCTTAATAATAATAATAATAATAATAATCTATAATAAAAACAAGAACTTATTCTCTGTCCGTCGCCCACTGACTGCGTGTGACTTTGCATACGCACATATAACGTATAGAAGTACGTCTGTATTGTGTGTGACTTACATAAGCTTGTGCTATTTAATGTACACACCATCACATGAACACATACACAAATACACTTATGCACACAATTTAATATTTAGTTTATATAAGACTTGGGAATAATATATTCCTCTTACTCAGTCTGGACAATCCCTAACCTAGACTGAGCAAAATCAAAAGTTGGAGACAAGGAGAGAAAAAAAGAAATTAAAAACTTATGAACAGCTTCATACTCATCGTCTCCTTGTTTATATGGCTATATGGTTGTGAAATAAAATAAAAAGTAATCAGCTTTTCATTCTCTTACCTAGAATGAGAGAGTTTAATTTACGTTTTATATCAAACTATTCATGTCTATCATATCAGACTATTTATATCTATTTATTGATGTCATACGACTATATCACGTTGGAATACAGGTTCTTGTATGAATACTGAAGTTAAGCAAAGTCGAGCCTTGTCAGTACTTAGATGTGTGACCACTTAGGAATACCATATAGGCTTGGTTGAATGTGTGGATGGTGTAATAGATAAGGGGATGAAAATGGAAATTGGAGAGCTGAATTCCAATTCCAGTCGGGTTCGCTATATTTCCATACGCAAATTCCCTTGTGAATGGTATGAATCCACCTCTTTCCCCACCAGATGTAGGTTAATTAGTATCAGTAAATAATTATTACCTCCAAAAATTCTTACAATTTTTTTTTTTTTTAGAAAATCTTGGTAAAAACATTTATTTAATTTTATGAAATTTCAAAAAATTCATTTTTTACGACTTAATGTTTGTATTAGTTATACCCAAAACTCCTTGAAGAATTTAAATCATTGATTTTTCCTGTGAAACAGGACCCCGGTTACCGAAAATCTGCTATGAATCGTAAAATAAAAAATAGAATAAAACTAAGACTAATTAATTAGAAAAAAATTTAATTGCTTTTATGAATAAGATATATTATAAACATTATTGTCTGAAGAAAAAAATTTCGATGAATAATGAATTTTTACAAAAATTATCTTCAGTTTTTTGGGGGTTATTTTACTTAGAATAATTTATCTTTTAAAATTCTGTATTAATTTGTACGGGTTAGCTGATATTGCTATTAAGTAAAAACTATATTGAATAATCATAAATGGAAAAGCTTACTACAATTCAGAGATCCCAGTATTTTAAAAAGAATTTTGAATTAAATTTTTAATCTCTGATTCACCGGTTTGCTCTGTACTTTGTTTCAGATTTCCATTCGAAAGATACCGCCTTAAATAGTATATAATTTTTAATTTTATAAATGAAGACTATATATATATATATATATATATATATATATATATATATATGCACATACATATTCACACATATTTCATATGTATATTTATGCAGCAAATGTTCTTTAATGCAAATATTATTAAAGACAACCGACGGTTTGTGGTTATATATATAATGACGTCACACATTATGAAATGGACAAAGTCCAACAATTATTTTCAGACATTTTTATGTTTATACATTCTTTTTATAGATACAAATATTTAAGTAAATGCTCTGTTTATAATAAACAGTATTAATAACATTCATTGTTTACATTTGGATACGCATTGAGCAGATATGAATGTACGTGAGAGACTCATGGAAGATTGTAGTTTAAAAGCAGTAAAATCGAGCTTGCTAACAGAACGATCCTCTGTGGCTCAATCGGTTAAGGTACGTCAGGCTATATGACGGTTCCGTATAGAATACAGGTTCGATTCCTCTCGGAGGACGAATGTTTTCTATGATAATTTCTCGGACATTCAGGACGGTGAATGTTATTAATACTGTTTATTATAAACAGAGCATTTACTTAAATATTTGTATCTATAAAAAGAATGTATAAACATAAAAATGTGTGAAAATAATTGTTGGACTTCGTCCATTTCATAATATTTATATATATGTGTGTGTGTATTTATATACCTGTATTTTACAGCTAATAAGTGAAGCACAATCAAGTAAGTGACGTCTTAAATCTTACTAAATATAGTAGACACGAAAAACTGTTTTACAATTCTGTACTAACACGGCTCCAAATTAAACACGGTCAAGCTTACTTCTATCCATTCATCTCTTCTTTCTTCCCTTTCTTCTCTTTACCCTCTCTCTATTTCACTTTAAAAAAAAATAACTTGACCATCTGTCCCTTTCCTTCTTCCTCTCCTTCTTTCTTCCATATCCTTGCTTCCCCTTCCCCCTGTCAATCTAGGACATCAATTGTCTCCATTTACTAAAAAATTTTTGGTCTGAAGAGATGAATAGAATATTCTGATATTCACAAAATAAATTATAACCGAAATGAATCTTTTAAGGTTTTCTTCTTGATTACTATTATATATATATATATATATATATATATATATATATATATATATATATATATATATATATATGTATATTACTATTGATTGATTACTATTACATATATATATATATATATATATATATATATATATGCATATATGTGATAGTAATCAAGAAGAAAACCTTAAAGATTCATTTCGTTTATAATTCATTTTGTGAATATCACAATATATTCTATTCATCTCTTCAGTCCAAAATTCTTTTAGTAAATGGAGACAATTGATGTCCTAGATTGACAGGGGGAAGGGGAAGCAAGGATATGGAAGAAAGAATATATATATATATATATATATATATATATATATATATACACATACACACACAGCAGGACGCCGGAATTAAACAATTTTACAAAAACACAATCTTTGAAAACAAATGTAGCAATATTCGAAAGTATTCAGGGTGGGGCTGAATAGACTAAAATATAAATAAACTTTGACAAAGTTAACGACTATATAAATCAAATAATTCGGAACCTTGAAAAACTTAATAAAACATTGGAACAGAACTTTCGATATTATTCGACCAAACATGTATGAAATAATTCTTGCTGCCGAAAATACACCTATATATATATATATATATATATATATATATATATATATATATATATATATATATATATATACACATACACACACATATACATACACTCATATACATATATATATATATATATTCAAGCATGTCTCATTGAATAATGTGGACATATTTTCCCTAATTATTTTTATAATAATCCTTTCTAGTTCTCTAATTAGCTTCTTCATGTTAAGTTGAAATTCATCAAGGAAAGCAGCGTAGTTTTTGCTAACCCAAGTATTTTCGATCTTCTCCGAGATCATGATCAAGTGTGAATTGCGAATACAAACTTATTGTAACTGTTAGTTCTGATGATGGTTTTTTAAAAGCACGATTGAACGCGCTGTGTTATAATTGTATTAAAATTTTAAAAACATCCGTGGTAGCTATGGTGTTTTTGCAACCAAGCGTCTCCTTATAAAGGGAGCTAACCAGAGATGGCAGAAATTATCTATGTCTATATTATTCAATGCAACATGCTTGAATGAAGATATGCTGCCTAAATGTGTGTGTGTGTGTGTGTGTGTGTGTGTGTGTGTGTGTGTGTGTGTGTGTGTGTGTGTGTGTGTGTGTCTAAAAGGATTAAGGCTGACCAGGTAAGTTCCTTGAAGGATTTGTATTTGCACCATTGGTGAGATTCTTCACCCATTCCTTAAAGGAACTGGCATATTCAGCAGAAACTGACGTGAAGTTGAGCCAGATTTTGATGTTATCTTCCCACTCCGGAAACTGCTTCATATAATCATAGACCTGTAAAATAGAAGAAACACAGAGAAGATATCGTTTTTAAATACAAATCACTCTAACTGAAAAAAAAAATTATACGCATATAAATTATTTTTTATTGACTAATTCCATAATAATTTTTCCGTTTTAATTTCTGATTTCTGAGTTATCCTTATTATTTTCTAATTTATTTAAACAATTCTTCTCATTTTGGTTGTTATAGTCTCCAGTTTTCTTCAGATGCCTGTCAGTTTAGGCAACGTTTTTGGAATTTCGAGCTCAAACCTTTATTTAATCAACGGGACTAGATTATCTTCATTTCGATGCCTGTAATAGGATATATCACTGATTCGTCAATTCTTTTACTATTTTGACCTCCTTTTCCCTGTTGTTAATTCGTCCTTGTTTTACTTCTGCTTATTCCTTTCAACCAGAGTATATGGATTCAATTGCCTGATCCAGGCATTGATCTTACGACCACTGTCATTTAAACATAACATTTAAACAATATTTACATTCTCTTCTTTTTTGTGTATATGAAAAAGTAATGGATAATGGCAACTTGATATTTAAGTAGTGAAAATTTCTACTGTTGTATTACTAGAACAATTCTTATTAGGATTAGATAAGTTCGTCTGAATCACACCCCTCTGCGGTTTTTGAACAAAAGTAGAAGTTTATCCTTTGTTTGAATTGTAAGGTTTGGGTTTTCGGATCCTTCTAAAGTCTACTTCAACTCTATACTTCTAACGCCTCCGCCGAAAACTCTGAACTTTTATTTACTAGTAGACTACCCGTGATCCGTTGGGTCAGTGACGATTCAGGTTATAAAACATTGAAGTTGATTTTAGCATTCCATTGAAATGAAAGTTTATTTTATTATTATTCAGTTAAATATTTCTATTAATTCATATCATCATTGGTCTGGTTTACAAGTTCATGTTTAACGTTTTACTGACTGTTTACAGCATTTAATAGGAATGGAACCTCCGGGATAATCTTGAACATTAAATCAGATTAAGTTAAAAAAAATGTTAATATGCCAAAAATATTTTAAAATCATATTCACTTGAAAATATTTTTTAAATATGCCAAAAAATATTTATCAAATAATTAAAATATTGTTTGTTTAAATAAAGCTGAAATATAAATAATTACTTTACAAACAACTGGACGAAACAGCAAAGCGGGATCTCTTTGTGTTTGTCTTTAACTTTAAAATATTTAATTTTATTTAATGTTTGAAGAAAGTTAAAAATAAAATTACCTACTGTATAAACAACTCGTATTTTTAAATCTTATTCACTTAAAATATTTCTTAAATCAGATTAACTTAAAAATATTTTTAAATATTTAAAATATTGTTTGTTTTAAAAAAAGCTGAATTATCAATAATTACTCTACAAACAAGTGGACAAAACAGCAGTGGGATTTCTTTGTGTCTGTCACAAAAAAAATTGTCTGTTACCTGCATAAACAACTCTTATTTTTAAATCTTATTCACTTAAATCGTTGTTTACCGCACAGACACACCACACAAGCACTCAAGTACGCAGACTGTTACTATTATATAGACTGACTTATTTTTTCTTTTCTCAATAGAGTAGATAGGATCATCTATTGTCCGGTTCACAATCTTCCTCGGTCTTTTTAACAGGAGTAGATGTTTATCCCTTGTTTCCAGTTTAGGATTGGGTTTCCGGTTCCTTCTAAAGCCTTTTCCTGATGTAATCCTGTACCTCGAGTTTTTCTTGGGCCTTCTATCAAGCATTCTGCAAATTAAATACTTATAAACTGTCAAAGTGTGCGCATTCTTTTACGACGCCGAAATTTGAACTCGGTTCGCCAATTCCTTTTACCGCACTGGTAACCGTTACGTCACCACGCACTACACTCATTCTCTCAGAGAGGAAAGAGAAACAGATATCAAATACAAGTGTATACATATCTAATTAATTAAAATTCTGATAAGGATAGGAAAAAACAAGAAAATATTAAAAATAATTATCCGCACTTTTTATCCTACATTGATTATCTTACCCATTTTAACATTTTATACAATCATACTTATTATAAAACCCAGGTTGTGTGTGTGTGTGTGTGTGTGTGTGTGTGTGTGTGTGTGTGTGTGTACGTTTATATATTGGATCGGATTTCCTACATTTTTCAACCGATTTCAACAAAACTTCACAGAACTACGTAAAATTACCTTGCGGTGATTCTGACAGCGCCAAAAAATTGGAAAAACACAATTGTTTTTTGCACGAAATCAATTTGAAAACACGATTAAGAGGCATCTTTGAGAATGAAAGGGGACAACTCATATCGAGTTATACTTATTATAAAATCCAGGTTGTTTGTGTGGTGTGTGTGTGTTCGTTTATATATGGGATCGGATTTCCTACATTTTTCAACCGATTTCAACAAAACTTCACTTTTTGGGGGGAAGGTAGTGTTTCTTATTGTCTTGCACACTTCTTTTTTCTTTATTTTTACATTCAGAATGCTTTAAAAATTCCATTTATAATAAAATTCTATTCAATTGGTAGACTTATAACGATTGAAAACAATGTTTTTGTTTGAGTTTGGGTTTGACCAATTCGTTAAAAAAAAAAAAAAACTAATTAAGACATCCGTGTCCGTCAACCTTAAACAATAATCTTTGTCAATTTTATTTTTCAGTCTTTATGATGGTGGATACTTGATCTATCTCTTACTGTTACATCCCCGGGCAACGCCGGGCTCTACTGCTATTTACAAATAAATTGTTATTTTTGAGATTTCTTACATACAACACCGCATTACATAATCATGCGAATTTCTTGGCGACCTTTAAAGTTTGCATATATAAAGATAGTTATCGATTCAATATTTCATTTGTTACTTTATGAATCTCGCCTTATACCAAATTTGGCATAATCCAACACCTCCGTATGTATAAGGCGAGGAATATGTTACGTCTGTCCGAAATTCTTTACAACGAAATTTAGATTCCTACATAATTAAAGTATATAATCAAGTTGATTCGATAAAACTAGACATTATTCTCTATGGGAAAATAAAATTACCATCTACTGAAGGACGATAATGATTTTGACCTAGTAACAGTATGTACATAATAATGGGTAGTCGATATTTTGATATAATTTTTCAGTCATCGGCCATCTTCAGCCATACCAGTGCACCGTGGATGAACTTAAGAGAGCAACGCCTGCTACGATACGATTAAATGTAGTGAAAGGGTTCAGTGCATGTAAGAGCCATGCTATTATTTGGACAAACACTGCACAAAAGTCATAAGTGGCAACTCAGAGATATTAGATAAAGAATTGGTCAGTATAAGTGGAAATAAATATAAGGGGGAGACAGGCCTCCCCCTTAAGGTAAGGGTTCAAGAACACCAGAAAGCTGTAACACGAGAGGAAGTGGAAAAATCAGGCATGGCTGACCACATATGGTGAGAAAAGGGATCATAGACAAAGAACACCATTGGAAAATTTATAAACTTAAGGAATCAGCGCATATGCTAGGCCACAAAAATCTCCTGAGCCGACCAAGCATAGAAATGAATACAATATGGGAACCAGTAATAAGGAGTGCCAGAGAAAAGCGATAATAACAACAAAAATTACAATATGAGCTCTGGTAAATACATGCAATGATAACAGCAAAAATTGCAATATGAGCAATGGTAAAAATGGTGCTGAAGACAGGTTTATAATACCCAGAAATTCATACACAGATGTCCTCAAGCACACATGGCACAGTGGATAAAGGCGTTAGTTAGATCCAATGACAGGACTCAAAGAGTGAGTTCAATAGCCGGTTAAGGCAGTTGAGAACTTTCAGGAGATAACTGATAACTGGCATCCATTAAACAGAAGAGCGAAATAAAGGGTTCAGTTCGACATTCCAACCACCTGAAGAAGGCCGGAGCGTACAACGTGATAAATATGGCGACAAAGATGAGGACAATAATCTGAATAATGTAAATAATGTACGGTTATTGGAATAGTTTATTTTATTTCTGTAGCACTTTCCATAATGGCTAGACTATTTTTCGTTCACTATAATACATAGCACTATAGTTTTGTGTCATTGATTGAATACTGTTAAGTTTGACTATGATTGTAACATGATTCAGTTTCTACGATCTGGACATGTTAGGTACTTATAGAAATTTGATTTGACCAAGTGCTCTTCTCTGCCAACGATCTTAATATGCCAGCGACGAGACATTCTATCAAGTTTTATGGCGATGACACATAATGCAGAGAAAAATGAATTTAAGAGTTCTAAATTAACATAAAAAGTTGGAATTAAAATTTCGCAATAGTTATCAGTTTTCCATGATGATAACCGTTCCTTTATTTTGCGTTTCTTTTTTGTGTTCTTATCTTAAAAATAAAACATGTTTCTTAGGTCATGATTATAGAAATCGTAAGCTTTATTTTAGTTGCTCTTAGTTTTAAACGCTTAATGCAGACTACATTTTAAATCTTTTCTACTAATTGTCATGGACTCTGGTGGGACAAATAATTGCCATAGTCTGGAGGAAGACAAATATTTGTCATGGACGGTGGGTAGACAAATAATTGTCATGGACTGTGAAAAGATAAAGTATTATTATTATTATTATTATTATTATTATTATTATTAACATTTACTAAGTTTAGCTTCGCAAAGCGCGAGGTGATGAATGTGGGACAACGTGAGAAAGATTTTGTTCAGTAAAAGTGCGATTTATTTTTAATAAATTTGCATTTTCATTTCAATAACCCTGCTTAACTTTATATGATTCTAAACATGTACTAGGCTTGGCCAAGTTTGAGACAGGGTTACGGTGAAGATGCATCCAATGACGCTCAGAGTAACAATATGGTAAAAGACAAGCTTTTAATCATCGTTTTCCGGCAGGCGTGCCAACTATACTATGATTAGTCTTCCGGAATACAGATGTGATAGATATCGATTACCTGTATTGCCCTCATCAATCAGCAGAGACTCTGCAAATAGAATTTTTTTTTCTCTTCACAAGGTCAATTTCAAGTTTGGTGGAACTTTCTGAGTAAGTAACGCTAGCTTTGGCCAAATATTTTTATAATTTTTAAGAGTGCAACACTTTATAAGTATTTTTAACTCTAACATCATGATTGTAAATGTATTGTCAATGGACCCATTCAATGACAACTCTCTATTTACTAAGTTTGACTTGCTTTGTAAATTAAAATTCACTACTGACTTAAGTGCACTTACAAAAAAGAAGATTATGTTGAAATAAAAATAATTGTTGTGTAAAAAAGGTTTTTTTGGCATTAGACTGTGAACTTATAGATGTGTGATGTTCCTTGACACGCGCACACAAATATATCTATCAATCTATTCAGACCAAGGCACTAAAATGGGAAACTGACAGTTACTATGCAGTGTAGATTCCTATGTCTACACGATCTGTATCTATAAGCGCTATATCTCTGATATTAAGCAGTCTTTTATAACTATAACAATTTTAATATATATATATATATATAATACTAGCAGCATGGCCCGGTGTGTCCGTGCTTGATTCAAAAATCGTACGACTCATACAGCAATCGCTATCACTTGAAAAATATTTTTGCCTTTCCTTGCCTTTAAAGGAGTGCCCTTTGCCGTGCTGATGTTGCTACATGCCTTACTTCTTGCCTATCTCACACTGCGATTTTTTCTAAGCTCTATACCAAAACATTAAATCTGTTACGAAAAAAGAACTAAACAAAATGAACACAAAACGATCAGCTTTAAAAAAGGACTCGTAACTGGAAAAACCGAATGAAAAAAGAATGTTAACAACAAATACTTTTTCACACCCAACCCAGTTCTGCGGAATCAGAATCAACGTTGAGTTTGAGCAAGCGAATGAGCCAATTGGAGTAAAGTGCCATGCAGATATAAATTTTTCCCACTTGTGACAAAGGCAGCTATCGATTTTTTTTTGCTTGCTAGCATGCTAGTTAACATTCGTGTCGGTCAGCTGTTGGCTCTCATACTGGCCAATAGAATCTTCCTGCCTATTCGTGGCAGCCAGCTATAGGCTCTCACTCTGGCCAGTTGAAAGTGGCCGCAGACTACATGAAAATTGCCGTAGAAGCATGAAAAAATCAATTATTTCCACTATCGATGGGAGTTGGGAAATACAAAGTCAATCTTAGCCTTCCCGCTAACTTGAAGCATGTGCATGTAAATTTTGGTGCAAATTCGTCGAAAATTGTGGCCGTGCATTCGTTATACACACACACACCCTACCTTTTATATATATATATTTGATCCGTCTTAATGAAACACCCTTTATATATATATGTGTGTGCGCGCGCGCGCGTGTGTGTGTGTGTGTGTGTGTGTGTGTAATTAGTTTTAAGTTTGAACAACTTACTTTTGAAAATAGTTGTATACTATCTCGTTGTTTCGCGATCCACTGGCGAAGCTGATTCGACCATTCCGGGTTATTGATATCAGTGAAGTTATTCATATTATAAACCAGTTTTTTCCACTTTTCTTTCGTCTGTTTGTCTTTTATAACCGAATCCCATCCGGGCCATTTCATTATCATCAGAATCCAATTAATCGCCTCTTTTTTATTGCTTACAATTGGTGAGGGAATGTCCGGTATTTCAATACTAGTTCTATCCGGCAGAATCACATCGAAGTATCTTTGAAATGGATTGTAAGGGTTTACTGTGCAGGAGTAAAATAAACGGTAGAATGAAAACTAAAAAAAAAAAAAAAAAAAAAAAAAAACATCGGAGAAAGAAAGGATTTAATATTTTCTTATAAAAAAATAAAAATAAACAAATAAATAATTCTTATTGAACAGAAATGCCATCGATCTTAAACAAAACGTAATATCCATCTTGGACGTCTCGCTATGAAGCAGTAGTTAACACTTCCTCTTATATGTCATTATGAAATTTATATTACCTGCTGTCGAAGTATATATTCGTTTTCAAGACATCGTGAAATGTCGGTCCCTAGAGTTTATGTTATAAACAACCTACTGCAAGTGCGATTTCCAAACAAGCGTAGACATACAATGGACATACAATACATTATTGCGAGTTGAGAATGTCGTTTAGTCTAATTTCTATTGTAGAGTATCCAATCAAAACCAAAATGAGAAATTGCCGTCAGCATTTTTAGTCATTTCTTTCCAGCACTTTTTATGTTAATCTTACTTTATTTTCTTGATAATGTTATCAGAATTTTGTAGCCATCATTTTCGTTCATAATTGTCTCTGAAAACACACAGCATTGGCAGATCTTATTGATTGATAAGTACATACAAACCTACAAATATAAGTACGTTCATATGCGCATGAGTGTGCATATAGAGGCATACATTTATAAATGAATAGAGCCACGCATGCACTTGTTTTCTGTATGCTCGTGCTTTGATTTAGAATAGAGCTTTTCTTAGCGCATGCGTACACATCAGTTAGTCATTATAAATGATATTCGAACCAAACATATTACTAAATTTATAGAAATGTGCACACGGCTCTCTTCTCACATATTTGCGTTATCGATTCAATGCCTTTTCGTGATAATTCATTTTTCTCTCTGAACATGCCATTTCACTAACTCTCTTTCGCAAGTGAGCTAGGTATCTATCTTTTTCTCTTCGAAGAACTACACACCGACTTGAATTAACTTAGCTGCTGGCAGGCCTGTTGTAACAATGTTTTGAGTGGCGGGGGGATGACCTTTAAATCACAGGGACCGCGAGTAAGAATTTTCGAACTAAAATTAGTTCACATCATTTTCTAAAGAGGTGCGTAAATGATTTGGGAGGTGGGGGGGGGAGAAAGGCTCTCCAGGTCATCCAGGACCTGTCTGCTGGAGTTGTCGTATAGTAACAATCGTTTTGGAAATTCCCTCGAACCAACCTGATTTATGTAGCCCACGTTTGCAGAAATAGAAAAATGTAAAAGGTCATATTGGTTTCAGAAAATTAACTGCAGACCGCAAGAGTAAATTTTTAAGGTAAATTACAGACTATGAATGAGATAACGTATCGAGAGAGAGAGAGAAAGAGAAAGAGAGAGATGGTTAACGAATTATTTCTTTTTCTAAAAAGATTTAAAAGGACTAATTAGATACAATGATAGTAAAATGTTGTTTGAATAAATTCATGCTTCCAAAAACCTGAATTTTTGGCAGGCGATCAATCGTCGAACTTATTCTTATGAACACAAAAAAATTTACTATTTTGGAAAACCCTCACAGAGCACACTAAGTTGTCTTACAGGACTGATGCGGGCAATTAACAAGCGTCATTACTTACAATTATACAAAATTATCAGGTTTGTCTTACATACATACTTACAACATACATAAAATACAGATATGTGCACATTTATGCATACATAGATATGTACATGTTAGGCCTCTCCTGTCGATCCTAACTATTCAGAACAGAGCCGTCAGGATACCTACACATATGTGTTGATTGTAATCGGGATACCTGTGCAGAACCAGTTACACTTTTCTACTAACAGAGAACTGGTTCACACCACGAAGTCTCCAAACAGTCTTCCTTACGTTTTGAATTCAGAGTTGTCCTTCTCCTAGATTGGTAGCCAACCAAAGAGCCCAGTCTTTTATTTAGCCCATAGATGAGGGGAGAAGAAATGAATTCATAGCTTTTCCAAGTTTATTTGTGCAAAAGTGAATGTATGTATGTATGTATGCATGTGTACGTGTGTGTACATACATACATACATACATTAAATAAAAAAAAAACCTGTACGGCCAGTTACTGAGTGATACTGACATACGGGCAGTCATTGGTAGATACTGACGCATGGGCAGTTCAAGATTTTCGTAGTCTGTATCGCCTTCCGCGACGAATAGATAACAGTGAAACGCAACACATATTCATTTATACATACATACACTTACGCATATTTGCGCAACTGCATACACACTCGAATGAAGAAATAACTCTGTACACACATAAAACAGTATATGCGTACACATAAAAGTACATATTTATAAACACATATGCATATATATATATATATATATATATATATATATATATATATATATATATATATATATATAAAAAAGGCTTAAACACCAATATTCTATGGTCATAATTTATTCCATTGGAATCGTAAATCCGATCCAATTCATCAGACCTACAAATCAAAAAAAACAGAAAAAAACAACTCCGGAAATAAAAATAGAATTTAGAGAGTGTAACTTCAAGGAGAGTGTAGGACGAATGTTAGTGTTAAAGAGAGGGGTAACAGACGAGAGAAGGTGGGAGATTAAAACTTAACAGAGAAGTTTTTAGAGAGGTGATTTGAAGAGGTTTAAGTGAGAGAAATACGAATGTTGTCGGATGTCTAATACATTAAAGATGTAACCGGAAAGGATACATTTTGTGGTGACATACGCACACAATAGACGATCTAATCTTAAAGATCAGAAGAGGGAGGAGAGGAAAAGAAAAGAAAAAGGGATTGCATATGTATGTATATTTACCACTAATATTATCTATCTATCTATCTATCAATCTATCTATATATATATATATATATATATATATATATATATATATATATATATATATATATATATATATATGTCCATTAAGACGTGCGTGTATATTACAAAGTGCAGTTTTGCCGTTCCACATTCATAAATAACAGGATGACAAAATAAGTAGAAAATAAACAGAAGACACAAAACTTACAATTTATGTATGGATGTTGATAGAAAAAACCAAATTGCCCCAAATATGGCAAAACTGGATATTTTATTGGGTAGTATCCACCTTCAAAAGAAAAATAACATTTTAAAGTAAAATCCATCAGAGCTTTTCAATAATAATTAGTATTATTAAATAGGGCGTGTCCCCTATGGGCTGACCCACGGGGCATCTCTGTTCATGAGCGGGAGCATCATGGCCAGGTGTTAGTGTTTTTGAGATAGACAATGCGATTTGGGAGTCACATCTAGATACTTTGGAACACGGTCAATTGGAGACGGTTTAAGCAGCCATAATTACTCGATGTGAAGGCATTTCTAACTAGGCCCACCTGCAATCTTATGCGTTGCTTTTATCAAAACTTATCATCACATAATGCATCTAATATGGTGACAGGTTGTGTGGTGCATGGCAAGTTGTGCCTGGTATAACCTTATTTGACTGGGTATCATCATGGGTTTATTGGGGAATATAAACAACGATGTTACGGAATAAGTGGAAATCTGGTGAGAGGCATGCGTACTTGTCCAGATGCAAGTAAACCAGTTTTGGGGGGTCATATTTGCTTTGATTTGTGCTATAGACACTGAGTAGTCTATTAACACTAATAACGCATTGATTTGGGCATCTGTATTGGCGGCTGTTGAGAACTTGGGTTCACTTGAAGGAATATTCACTTAACATTTTTTACATGGAAAATTATACATTATTAAGTTTCTGAAAAATAAAAATTTACTAAATCAAAGAAATGAAATAGCTATTTTTGTAGGCACTGTCAAAAATTTTCCATAAGTAATAATTAATTTTGAAAAAAAAAGAATAAAGAACAGAGATGAAATATACATTTTTATTTTTGATCATTAACTAGTAATTAAATTCTAATAAATTTATTTGTAAAAATACCGTATAGTCTACTAGTTATTAGAAGGTCGAATGGTACTTTAAATCTGTAAGTATAACATTTAATTAATAAAATTTAAATATTAAAAATATGTCTTACACATATTTAAATGAGCCTTTTAGAAAATCTTTGTGTATAAAAATGTGAATTAATCGGATGAATAAAAAATGCCAATTTTTTTTTTTTTTTTTTGTCATTGAAAACCCAAAAGACTCACTGAATGACGGATGCATACGTTTGTTAGCAGGCAGCCCCACCCCACTTAAACTTAACCTGACTTTGTAAGTAACATATGTTGGATACATAAGCTGTCTAGGGAAATTAAAACCCAACCACCCCTAAATTAAAATAGATTTTCCTTAACCTTAACAACTCATAATATCAATATTGTCTGCGCTCATAAATTAAGTAAATTTCTTAGAAAGTTATTCCTAGCATTGCTCGACAATGGAACGGGACTATGGATTTTATGTTTAATTTTTATATAATTAAATTTACAAATTTAGTTTCAGTTTTGAAACATGGACAATTTCTGTGCCGCGATGGAATCATATTTTTAAGAAGAAAATAATTATAATATTTTGCTCTATTGTTCGTATGAAGCACTGTTTTTTTTTTTTGTTTTTTTTTAAATAAAAATAATTGCTAAGAACACCGGATTATTAATCATACTGTTCTTTCTTATTATTTTAAAATATTGTATATATTATATATTAAATTTTATTTGTAGGTAATGTATGTGTGTTTTGTATATGCCTCTACGCGTGTCATTTTCTTCTGATTTTATCTTTCAATTTAAACTTTATCGTTCCTGGAGAAGATTTTATGCTATATTCACAATTGCATTTTTCTGCTATTTTTCCATCTATTTACCTCCCCAAATTGGTACAAGAATAAAAAAAAATAGCTTATATACTTACCTCCATACAAGCGAATAGGAAGTGCGCCCACTGTACCAACAAAGGCTGAAAAATAAATTATTTCATATTTAAGCAAAATTTTAATCCTGTTATTCTTACGCCTTACAAATGCGTAGCGAGTATTTTCATTTGTCTTCTTTCAAAAGACCTGATTAAACAAGAATCAAGTATTTGCAATGATTTGCTTTTCAATGAATGTTGCTGCAACATTTGATAAAGAATTACTTTCCTTCTTTTGCATTAAGTGAAAAGAATTACAAAATGGACATGAAATTTGGTTCCGTTTTATTAGAGAACATTTTATTATTAGAGAACTAGTTTTATTCATGCAAAAGAAAAACGCTTACTTCTTTAAAAAGAAAACAGTAAAAAGGATTTTCGTCATTGAAATTAAAAATCCACCACGGTGAATAGTGGCTGAATTCAAATGAAGGTTTTTGAAAATTAGAGAAGGAATTTTGCCCTCACAAAGATTTTTTTTTTTTTTTGATCTATGTGAGATATTTTATAGTTATAACAGTGTTAGGTAATTTTGCTTCAAAAATCAGTTAATATTGTTTGAATCAATGAGCATTTTGCATTACAAAATTCAATGATTTTAAATTATATTTTTTTATTATTACCGCTATTAATTTTCCTCCTTTTTAAATTTTCTTTTGGATAAATATTTTTGCTTACATCTTTTATATATAAAAAAAAAAAAAGATAAAAATCGATTTTTCACGGAATATTTTATTTGAAAAAATTACTGAAAAATTGATCCTCCATTCATCTGACACCACAGTTCTGCTGATACGCTTACATCAGTCTAAAAATTATGGAGACTAGAAAAATTTTATAAATTAGCGAATACTTGTCTTACGTAACAATTAATTGTCCGTTGTTCACACATCAGATTTCTGAACCTTCTCCAAAGTATAAAATGATTTTCTATCGTCATTTATAGCGTTATTCTCAATGCTTAATTTTGTATGACATACCTCTTACCAAATGGTCTATTTTAGTTGTTCTATTTTATGTTTTACATGGTTAAAAAGAAAAATTAAATGAAATTATAACGTATAGCAAATGAAAATAAATAAATCTCTGGCACGCACACACACACACAGATATAGATATATATATATATATATATATATATATATATATATATATATATATATATATATATATATTGAACAATAAAAAATATTAAAAATTAAAATCTTCTGACACACTGGGTTGTAGCTTCTTTCGTTTTTATTATTATTATTTCATTTAGATTCCTTGACTAGTTTCGGCCAACATGGCCATCATCAGGAGAAGAAATATTTCTGCTTGCCGGTAGCAGTGAACTACAGAAATGTCTTGATGGAGAAAATGAACTTTTGTCTGTAGTTTTCATTTGTTTTTTATTTTTTTATCTTTTTAACATGAATCTTTTAACATTCCTTATGTTGGTCAAACAGTCTCTTTTAAGTTGCTATTTGAGGTAAGAGCTGGATGGATCCGTGCTGCTCTGAATTCCCCTGGTCAGTTTGACAGTTTTATTGGTTTCTGGAGAGGGGGTGTGTCTCTGTTAAGCGTGTGTGTGTGTGTGTGTGTGTGTGTGTGTGTGTGTGTGTGTGTGTGTGTGTGTGTGTGTGTGTGTGTGTGTGTTATTTGGTTCTTAGGGAGTGAGTGAGTATGATATGTGTAAGTGTGTATATTGCTGTATGTGTGTGTTATTATTTGGCTCATTAGGGAGTGAATGAGTATGATGTGTGTAAGTGTGTGTGTATAAGTGTGAGGCCTCAACACTTCCGTAAGCATGTCTGTCTTGTGTGGCGGAGAAATGAGGGTAGGTTTTGATTTGTAGGGTTATATATTAATACTATCTATATTGTTAAATTTATGGTTTAGCCCGACTGGATAGTGTGTTTTTAAACGTTGTATCCACTTATTTTCATGGAACTCTAAAATCTTTCTAATATTATCTGCTCTGAACTTTTATATTCTCTCAATCGCATATATATATATATATATATATATATATATATATATATATATATATATATATATATATATGCGCATCTATAACGCACGAACATACATACAAACAAAAATACAAATCACATACAACGCCAAGCATTCATTGGTTAATAAATCACCACTACATTACTACGGGCAATTTACAAATCGCAGTAATGCGACAATTTTGTAATCGCTCTATTTTTAAGTAGTCAATTTTGTGAACTTTTAGGAGAAGCGGATCACAGAAGCTTTCTTAAGTCTCCCTAAAGCTCGCTCGCTGATTGCTCGATGACAACCAATCAGATCGTTTGCACGTGAAGAATAATTCTTCCCGCGCAACAATTTGGAGCCTATAGTCGCTTTTTTAAGCCAAGATTTTTCTAATCCCAGTAGTGAGATTTCAACTGCCAAACAAATCCACGACAGTTGAAACCATGCGCCAACTTTCTCACTCACACACGCCACTCACATGCAGAACATAGCTTGTACACACTTACATAAACTCTTCTTACACAGCAATATCTTTCAAGAACAATCATTACAAGAGACTCTCATGAACATTCTTCCAGTGAACTTTGGAACACTAAAATAGCAGTTAAAGAGAGACAACTCTTGGTTAATTCAACCTTTTCTTACTTAAATGCATGTTTTCCTTCACATCGTTGTTTGATATTGTACATCTTGTTAAATACATATTTTATGTGCAACAATGTCTTTTGGTTATCCTTTTTTTGCGTGAGCCTTGTTTTCTAATCTAAAGTTAAATTAATGTGATGAAGTCCGCCACATATATATTAAGGAATATACAAAATACCTTACATTAATTGCAAAACTCTGAATTTCATGTCGAAGCAATTATCAAGTGCCGGTATATTTATTTTTATTTTTATTTTTATTTTAATTTTAATTTTGGGTTGGCACTGGTTTTGCAAAATGTCTGGTTATCGCGAGATATTTTATTGTTGAGGTGGAATATTATTATTGTTAAAATATTTAAATGAATAGTGGTCTAATTTTGAATTAGAATTTAGGCCCAGATTAACGTTTAAGATTGAAAATAAGGTTAGAAATAAGAATATTAAATCCTCTGCACTGTCCACAAAAATCAGTTAGAACCTATATTTAATTATGTACATAAAATAACGAAAGATAGTCCACGTGTGATTCTTATATGTAGATTTAATAGGCAGGTTAATGAAATTTGAGGAATAAAAAGACAACAAAATGGTAAAAATATTGTCAATAAAACTAATAATCATTTTTATATTGGTAGGCCTTAAATTATCAACGAGACAAGAAATAAACAATGAAAGGGAACTCTCTTTTCTAGGGAATTTGTTGTTATATATATATATATATATATATATATATATATATATATATATACACACACACACAAATATCCTAAGATTAATATCGTTTGTTCTTACCAGTTAGTGCTGAATCAATGTGGAATACAAAAATCTTAAAACAAATAAAAAAAATGAGTTGAAATTAATCAAAAACTTAACTCTATAAGTATACAGAAAAAAAAAATCAATGCTGAATGTGAATCACATTTTGTCTCGTTAATAAAGATTCCGTTGAAATATTTTTCTAATGAAGCCGAATCATTGGCGAAACATATCAATATAGAAGTTGTCCAAACTATCTTTTAAATTTATCATATAGATAGATATAAATAGTGTGAACAGAAATCACTTGTTTATATATATTTGCAATAATCTATTTTAAATCGTTATAGCGTTTATTCATTTGTGCGTGTAAAAAAAAATGCGGAATTTTAGAGGTGACCTAAAATTATTACGTCATATTATCTTGTACGGCATTAGGTTGCTGAGATTTAGAATCGAGACCTGATTACAAACTCAGGACAAATAAAACGTTAGTACAATTACTAATTTATTATTACTGATAAAGTTTTTAGTCGTTTATAATTAAAATAGACTTATAATCAAGCTATTAATGCTATAGCTCTAAGACTGGCATACTGCTCTGCATAACTTGCTTTATTAAAGTGATCTTACACGCACACACATACATGCAAACATATATAGTGATTTACTAAGGCACGAAGCCGAAAGTATGGGGACCCTAGTGAGGATCGAATTCACTACTTAGACGTAATTGAACCAACGAAACAAGTTTGCTAACCATTACACCAAGTCGAAGTGCCCAAGGCGGTTTTCTAAGCGAAGCTTAGATGTAGCACAAGGCCGAAAGTATGGGGCACTCAGGGAGGATCGAACTGACTTTTCAGTCGTAATTGATCTAACGAGACATGCTTGCTAACCATTACACCACGTCAATATATATAAACAACACTTAATAATATTAACTATGAACATGTACACAATATCTTGACCGTGCAACAAACTTTTTTTATTTAACAGTTAAAATATTTAATCCTTGAAAATGGCGAAATGTATAGCCGAAAGCGCTCGAATAAAAAGAACATTCGTACAGTTTTTAAATAATTTATCATCTGAAAAGAAAAAAAAATTATTAGATCGCATGAGAAATTGTATAAAAAAAACTAAATAAAAGCACCTTGTCTGCCGTATTCAATGAAATGTGCATAAAAGATTGCTGTCTAAATACACACACACACACACACACACACACACACACACACACACACACACACACACACATATATATATATATATATATATATATATATATTATGATAAAAATATAGTTTTAAGGTATTTATGGGTTATAGCGCTCAGTATCAGGACGAGGGTGTATGTAATTATAAATATAAAAATGGACATCGAGATCAACACCCAACAGGGATAGTCTGTTTCATGCCTTAACGCAATCTTCAAGCCATATATGTTGTGTTTTGACTCGACTATTTATATAGGCTGGTCAATGGTGCGGTATTCTACCGGTTATTGATAGTGTGTTGACCTCAAAATCCACTTATATATATATATATATATATATATATATATATATATATATATATATATATATATATATATATATAATTGTTTAGATATATATATAAGATAGTTAAATTTTGTTAAAATTAGTCAACACATGATAAAGAAACTCTGTCAGAATAACATTTATATAAATTAAGTACACGAGCGCCAGCTAATACATACACTGATGATTAATATATGCTTTTAAAACAAACGATATTTTTATGATATATGCAATCCCAATACACACTTCGGTCATATTTTTGGGATTCTGATCTGGCGACATAAAGTCTCAAACAATTTTCCCCGACTTCTAACATCTCTTTGTTTTAAAAAAAAATTCTGGTTTTTGTAAATCTAGCAAAATTCAGATGCCATGTGACTAGAATTTCTGCCTGCGTACCGATTCACTTTGATCAAAGAGATGTGTGATAATTAGCAAGTCTTTTACTTAAGTGATTCATTTATACGACATTTATTTGTGTATCGCCTTAAAAAAAGGACTATATTGTAAAATTATTCCCAACAATGCTCGAGATCTTTGCTCTTCCTTTTATTTTATGTCCTATACATATTAATGATTCCATTTTAGCCTATGAGAAATTCGCCGCTGTGAAAGGACTGACTTGGGAAAAATACAAATTGGAATATTTTTTATGGCAGCGGTTTATTTCAGTGCTTGCGAAAATTTGAATATCTATTCTTTGTGTGAATGTATTTTTAACTCTACTGCTAAGCACATAAGTGTGTGCATGTGTGTGATTATGACTTTCTCTAGTTTTGAATACCTATATTTTCAAGCGTATTTAGACTGAGTGAAGGTGCATCTACCTATGGTTACTTGTATACGGGTGCACGAAACTGTTTATTATTAAAATGTGGGATAAACTTTCAATTAGAAACAAGCAAACTGTGTAATTATATATAATACTCTCCCACGCACAAACACATACATAATCGTCATGGTTTGGTTTATCAAATCAACTAAATCTAACTCGTATTATAACGCCAAAATAACACAGGAAAATACTTTATACAATCTAAATTCAGTAAATATCTACCGCTATTGACCAGTTTTAAATTAAATTTCCAACTGGCTCGAATAAACGAAACAGATGTCAATAAACGGTCCGTATCGAACAAACCTTTTCTATTCTATTTTTAATTCTTTTCTATTTATTTCTGCTATTCGCTGTTAACGCCCTCGGCAATGGCGTTTTCATTTAAACTTCCACCCATGCGAGAATGCATTTAAAATACTTTGGAATAGGTACAACAATAAATTATTACAGCAAAAGTCCCAACTACTTGCAAGGAACAGGTTAATAAGAAGCTTTAACCAAACTTTTTAAGGAGACAAAAGTTAACCATTTGCAAAAAGTTAGTTACTAATAATCATTAATTGAACTCTTAAGGGTACAAAACTAATTTGAATGCATTGCCCCCGAGTTCTCTTATCAACCATTTGCGGGCTATTTAAAGCCAGAAATTATTTTTAGATTGTAAGAATGGAGATAATACAGGTCTTACTAATTAACCCATAACTGGGGGGAGAAGAATGGATTCTCCCAAGGGTATTTGTACGTAAGTAACGAACCTGACTGAAATTCAAATTCGACCCTCAAATTTCCAATTCCGCGCCGTTATCCATTAGAACACCCGCACATCCAAGCTTACAGCACCTGTTATTCCCAAGTGGTTATCCATCTAAGTACTGATCAGGTTCGACTTTGCTTAGCTTTGGTGATCATACGAGAACCGGTGTTTCAAAATTGTATGACCGTAAGCTTCATATTAGTTAATTCTTTTTGTTTGATATGAGTCAAACATAATGAATTATTTCTTAAGGCAATGAGTGATAAAACATCCAATGGAAATTGTTTGCGAGACGATTATAAACTACAGTTCTACTCTATGTGATTTTAAAACATTCCTTATTAGCGATTTCGTAAGCGTAGCTTACATGTGGCACGAGGTCGAATATATAGCGTATCCAGTAAGGATGGAACTCACTCATAATTAATCTGGTGAGTCAAGCTTGCTCACTATTAATAGTGATTCACTAAGCGTAGCTTAGATGTGGTACAAGGCCGCAATTATGTTGAAGTACCCAAGCCTTCATTATTAAGCGTTATACTTCCCTGGCACCAGCTGGGTTAGTTTGAAATTAATATTAGCTCACTCCTCAAGGGTCATCGACCAGACAGTACCCTCCTTCAGGAGGTGGCTAGGGTCATTACCCAGTGCCTGAGGCGTTCCCAAAAAGAGGAAGTGCCGAGGAGGCTTGAGCAATTTTTCTACGGTATTGCCGGTGAACCCACATTAATCCTGAACCTTGTATCGCATTCGGTTGCGACGTAGGTGCACTGAAAAATCCATTCATTATTAAGTGTTTGTAAAACCAACACAAAAATAAATAGATAATTTTAAATTTCAGAAAACAACACAGACACAACAGCGATCAATTTGGACCAGTCCAAGCCGCTCGACAGGGTGAATCATCAGTTCTTAATAACTGTGCTGAAGGTCGCTAAATTTCATTGTGTTGGATCAGTCTTTTGAGGTACAGATAAATGGAAATCCTTTGCGATATCGCAGTCGGTATAGCAGGGTTGCACACTGTTCCCCTAGCTTATGCCTGAACCTATGACCTTTCCTGCACAGGCTGAGGGTTCTGCATGGATTAGGCCACCTTGGTGAAGTTCAAGCTAGTGTTTTCTGATACGTCGATGACGTTACTATTTTCCTGCCTTACTGTTTTTATATAAAAGTTATCATCACGCGTGAACGGTAGCTGTGACGTTGGCTGAGATTAACCGCGACAAGTCATTTGACTTGTAGTTCGGTGTTTGGAAGATAGTTTCTCTTCTATGACCCTTCACTTAGCCAGATAAACTTGTTGGTATTCTTGGAGTGTGGTTTGGATTGGCTGTATTTCTCCTTTTTGTAAACTATACGAAGGCGATCGAGCTATTGATCTTTTCCTTGTTTGAATGAGGATCTGACATAGTTGGCAGAAATGGCTCTATCTAACGATCAAGCAAAGGGAGCTGAGGATGCTACATTTGTCTAGTTATCGACTCTCTTTGACGGTACAGTATGTTAACGGGGGAACTTATTTGAGAGCACAGCATTCGACGGCCTTCCCTAAGCCCGGAATTGCTTCCTATTATTTATTATTTCTAGTTCAAACAAGAGAAGAGAAATTATTTATGGTTAGAATTTGTGAAAGATTCATCAGTCCAGTGTGTATTCACAGGTAAGAAACCGGGAATCGGTGAAGAAGACATCTTCGGATCCACTTTGTATAAGATTCAACTTGTCATCAGGAAAGCTCTCTTCGGTGTGGTCCTGGGCACACCGGGTTCGAATTAACTAAACAGCTTTCTCTCACCCGGCGATTAGCTTGGAATACGTTACCTTTTAATAACTTTGGCTTCAAAAACGGTCACGGTAGAAATACCAGATTACAACCGAGGAGAAAATGAGTTAGAAGAAACAACTGATCATGTCTTTCATTGTAGCGCGGTTCGCCGGCTTTGGCTAACTGACAGCTGCATGCAGCCCGAGAAATTTATGCCCATTAATATTCATTATTATATCCTCTTTAATGCTTTATTGATTGGCTGTATTTCTCTTTCTTGTAAACTATATGAAGGCGATCGAGCTATTGATCTTTTCCTTGTTTGAATGGGGACCAGACATGGTTCGCAGAGATGGCTCTATCTAACGATCATGCAAAGGGTGCACATGTTCGGCAATATATTGCTTAGTTGAGTAAAACAAATAGTATTTCACACACTGCTACCTGTAACTAAATTAATGGTAAGTAAGAGAATATGCACTCTTAATTAGATGAGTGAATGGAGCATCTGACCCCTTATTTTCTTTTTGTTTAGGCTATTCTCTCCCAGTTTTATCCGACATTGAAAGAACTATCATTTTGCATCCACAAGTCCATTGTTAATTTTACAATCACTTCTTCACGGTTTTATGTAATTTACAGATTTCATTTTACGCCTTCCTCGCTACAATTAAGACATCGTGGCTACTCCAGTGTGAATGCTTTCCTGAATACTATAATCTTAATCTCTTCAATTCAGGGGTCAATTGCTATCTATCCTCCTCCTACTTCTACTCATCACTTCTTCTACCTCTTACGTTCACATCACACACCTACCAATCAAAGTCACATTGAGAAATTGTATTTTGGTTAATGAATATTCTGAATGACTTCTTTTTGCGGAAAGTGATGATCGACATTTCTTCTGCCGACACTTCGGCTGTGTAATTCGTGTAAGAATATAAATAAATAAAAAAGACTACCAAATTGTACAATATACTGGTTTCAACGTGTTGGAAATTAAACGACCCTAGATAAAATGTGCAATAACTTTTTTTAAAATAGACTTTCAGGACAATATTTTTATAATGATATTGATCTGAAAATACAACATTCACATAGTAATTGTAAGAAAATACGGTCATTATAAAATGCACTTAACAGTATCTTCTATAAGATTAGAGAACCGAGGTAATTTTCTTCGTTTTCTTATTCCTAATGTTAAAATCTCGAAGGACATTGATCGGGAGTTTGTTTATTTTTTTTTCTTTAAATACTTTAATATCGAAACTTAAATACAACTTGGTTTTTCGATGTTGGCGAACTAGTGTGACTGATAACACTTCTTTGAATCAATTTTCATACAATCTTTATCATGATATTTACGTGTTACTGAAAGGTTTTACTCTGACTTTGACGTTTGATGTGGTTCGGACACCTCACCCGTATGCCTATCAACCAACCAGCCCTACGAGCATACACCCTCAGGTACTCTGGCTGGAGGGCGAGAGGCAGACCAAGAAGACGCTGGAGCGACTCAGTCGAAGACACTCTCAGAGCCCACGAGATATCTCTCCTCCAGGCCACTCGCCCTGCTGCTGACAGACGACTGTGCCTCCCTGCGACGCCTCACAGCACAAACGGAAGGAAAACTAAACTTTGACGTTTGATTTGAACCCGTAAATATGGTTATGCAAAAGTTCATATAGTTGAGATTTTTTTTAAATATTTTCACCACAGGCAAGACAATAAAGCCACAAGATGCAAGGGGTAACTGAGTGTGAGAGAATATGAGTAAAAGAAAACATTATTAAGGAGAGAGAACAATAAATGAACAGAATATATCGACTCGCATTGCATTTAATTTTTTTAATATTAAAGTTGGCTGGAAAGCAGGAAACTGTGAGGGAGTTCCACAAGAAAGAGGGCGAGAGAAGAAACAGTTAACATAGAACTTGCGGTTAAATGTAGGCATTTCAACTGTAAGATGATGAGACCATGTCGCCAATCTAATACTGCACTTAAATTCATAAAGTCTAGGTACCAAAAAGGAAAGCTCATCCGAACAATTACCATGAAAATATTTATAGGAAAGACAGAAGGAAGCTACGTCACGGCGGTGGAAAAGTAGCTGAAGCCGAGATGCCAGATCTGGACCAATAAAATTACAAATTCTTCTTTGTATTTTATCAAGAATCTCTAAATACATAGCAGAAACATCAGATCAAATGCGATAGCAATATCCAATGCATAGACAAATGGTAGTCTTATAAATATGTATATACAGTGAAACAAACTTCTTAGCAGCAGACCTAGCAATTGAGTCAATATAATCTTTCCACTTCATGTCAGGGGAAAACGTTAACCCGCGAAATCGTAATGAGTTACCCTCCTGGAGGTTAGCATTAACCTTTTTTTACCTTCCATCACGCTGATGAAAGGTAAAAATGGTTCTATCAGACGATTAGAAGAGAACAGTTTTGTTTTGGAGGCGTTAACAAGTCCTAGTTAACAACAGATTTTAGGCCATTTTCGGCTCAGCTAATAATTTGACCTAATCGAGCCGACCAGACTTACCGGGAGTAAATAGTAGTACTGTCAGCATAGATACCGAGTTGAGAACTGATGACATCAGTAAAGTCATTGATGAAAATTACGACCAAGATAGGTCCAACGATAGAGCCCTTGGCGATACATGTAGTTAACACTTTCACTGCTACTCATTTGCCCAGTGCTGCCCCCATCCGGCCAGCCATTTTTAAAGAAAATGCCAAATTTCAACCTACCTATTTTATTACACAGAAAACTGGCACCAGTGTGTTTTACAGCATTCCATTTTCATGGATATACCTGGGAATGACTTAACAGATCAGTAATGGGTATACACATGATATCTTTTGAAGCATTGTCCTTTGTGGAGTGGGACTTCACACTTTTTGCAGAAGCACCTTGTTTCTTAGCGTTTTCCACCTTTTTTGCAGACTCTGCAAGGCTTGGAAAGGTACCTTTTCTTATTGGTTGGTGGAATTTCTACCAAGTCATGAGCTTTCATTTCACCAACCAGGCGAATGGCAGGATCAATACTTTGCCAGCTGGAGCAAGATAAGAAAAACGAAGATCTCCGTAGTTAACAGCGGAAGTGTTAAACAGACTTTTTATTACGAACAGATGAGGATGCCTATTGTAGACTGGTAGTTAGCAAGTAAGAATCGCTTACTATTGAGTGTAAGTTCAATCCACATTAGGTGCCTCGTGATTGTGACTTTGTTTCGTATTAATCTATGTTTAATAAATACCTATCCTTATAGAAGAATGTAATCTGGAATGACATTGTCTCGGTAGTGGGATTTATAAAAACATACATTGATTTCTCCCTAACTCTGTCTATATCCACTGGATTGCTCTCTCTCTCTCTCTCTCTCTCTCTCTCTCTCTCTCTAACA